TTTGAATAAATTTTTGGGCAATGACTTGTAGACAGCCAAACTTAGATCTGATTTAAATTCAAAATTATATAGTTGAAAAAAATATATACAATAAGGTAGAATTTTATCTCAAAATTAGCATGTCTTATCTGTGTATATGACCATGTTTCAGAGCTTAAACTTTCATTATGTGATTGAGAATTTCAAAATTAGTTATATATAGGCTGCAATCTAGTATCATATCTTTTAATAGCTTAAGAAAAACATGGTAACAAAACCTTATTGAAATATTGTACATTTTACTGTTACTTGTATTAAAGTTTTTCTTCATTACCCATTCAAGCCGTCTCCAAGCATTACAGATAACAGAGATTGTTTGGCCCATCTGTTATCCTTTCACCCAACAGCAAACGTTAAACAAACCCATTATTTTACATACTCGCATAACAAACATTGAAGATAACACTAACATCATAAGTTCATAACAATTTAGTTAAAAATAATTTTGTTAAAAAGCATCTTAGTGCAACTTCATCCAGAGCTTCAACTTATTCTCCCAAATGCTCAAGTTTTTACTTCCAACCTGTTCATTCTGCATCTCAAACAAACAATCAATCTAGAACCACAACAATCAAATCCATAACAGTACTAAATACTTGAATTAACTCTTTTTCTAATTCTTCTTGCACCAGAAAACAAACTTGTATCAACATTTTTAAACATGTTTTAGTTGTCCAGATTTTTAAGAAGGGTATTATTTTACTTGCTCTGCACTCTTTCCAGCATGTTATCTTTCCTACAGAAATGAAACCAAAACTGCACACTACACCTTATATAAGGCCTCTCCATTTTCCTGTTTTCAGGAAAAGCTACAATAATCTTATTCTGAAATTAAAATATATATATTGTTAAGGATTGCATATCTTGACTTGTTTCAAATTCTGTTGTCATAAAGTTGAGAATATTATACTTAACAGTGTTTTGTTGAGTGTGTGTTAATGATAACTCATTATTTTGATGGACTGTTTTAATATTTAGAAGGCTAAAGGTGTCATGTAACTGTTATCTTAAAGACAAATACCAAAATTGTCATTATTTTAGTCTTTGGTAATTAGATGTTTATTTTTTACCCTGTCTACATGGTGTCCAGAAATGAACAAATTCATATTTATTTGAAATTAAATTTGGAACATTAGGACTCTTAATGTTTGAAGAAAATTATTTCTAAACAGTTGAAATCATGGTAATTGTTTTGTAACACCAATTAAAATAAATTGGCAATTAATCATCCCTACCCAACAGCTGTCTCAAAAAATTATTTCTTTAACCTTCTCATGCCTGGAAGAGGTGTCACTGTTTTTTGTTGTTTTTTTTCTCAGTGTAATTGGAGATTTTGGAAAGAAAAAAAAAGTATCCTCCATACCATCTCGTTGTTCTTTAAGACTACCGATGGTTAACTGCCAATTTATTTTAATTGGTCAAATGGTTATACTTGAATAGATATCAAAACTGTTTCAATAGTTCTATTACTGAAAGTCATTGACGTATTTATTTTGTTACTCCTAGAATTTGGGTACTTTCCTTAAAAAGTTCTATTACTGAAAGTCATTGACGTATTTATTTTGTTACTCCTAGAATTTGGGTACTTTCCTCAAAAAGTTCTATTACTGAAAGTCATTGACGTATTTATTTTGTTACTCCTAGAATTTGGGTACTTTTCTCATCCATGTCAAGATGACCTTGTTTGTAAAGCAGCTATAGATGATGTTCCATATTTCAATGCACCTATCTATCTTGAAAACAAACAGCAGATTGGCAAAGTTGATGAAATATTTGGCTCAATAAAAGACTATGTATCCTTTTTATCATTGGTCACTATTTCTATGATTTATTTTTTATTATGTGACCTGTTTCTTAGTAAATGTTTTGGCTCTTTATTATCTTGATTCAGTCAAAATTTTAAATGTATATTTTAATAATGTTGTATATCAGTAAATTTTCACTATTTTCACTAGTGAAAAATGATGCTTTAATTGATTTAAAGGTTTTAATCTATTAGAAAAAAATCGATTTACTTTAATTAAACAGATTAAATGCTAAATTTTCAAAAATTTCATTGAATTTATTACTTTACTAGGTGGAGTACCTGTCACCTGTCCTCTTGGACAGAAGTTATGTAAATTCATGATTAATGAAAGGTTATCTTAGGACATGAAAAGTTGCTTCCCTTATATGTAATTGTAAAAACTCCCATGAAAACTGTAAGACATAAAATGTGAAACTGCAAATTTGCATGTATCTCCGCATGGACCCATCAAACCTTCATACCAAATTTGATGAAGATCCAGCAATGAGAGGCGAAGCAGTGGTAAAAAATGCCCATAAAAACCGAAAAATGTAAAACTGAAAATCTGTATGTATCTCACCATGGATCCAATAAACCTCCTTACCAAATTTGGTGAAGATCCATCCACAGAGGGTGAAGTAGTGGTAAAAAAATGCAAAATGCAAGACTGAAAATCTGTATGTATCTCCCCATGGTGAAGATCCATCCACACCCTGCTAAGTAGTTACATGGACATACAACAGACAGTACAATTATATTTATATAGATATTGTGAATTTTGCAACTATTTAAACATTGTTTAATGGTGAGTACTGCATGTGACTGGTTCAACGAATGTTTTTAAAAGAAACTATTTCATGATGTATGTAATATTTTACACCACTTCATGAGGATGAGGGCTCGAGTGTTAATTGAATTTATTGGTGATACTTAAAACTTGAAATTCTTGAAATGTTGTCAGCATTTTTCAGTATTTGGGCAATTTCTCTGTCAGCCATGTGAGGGAAACTCTTCTAAACTGTTTTTAATCATTCACGAAAAGCTCTTTGATATGTAAATATCTTCCATTGGAGTAAATATGCAATTGGATACTGGCACTGAATTAGTGGCTTTGTTCTAATGTGAAATGGATTTATTTTTATTTCTACATGAGTATTTGGATCAATTCATCATAACAGTTATAGATGGTGTTGAGTGTTTTGATCATACTTTGAATTGTTTTCTCAGTTAAGATGGCTTATGAAAATATGCAACTCATCTTTATCTCACTTAGTTGTTTGAAGTGATTGATTGTACTGCTCTTTGGGAGAAATGTTGGCTTCTTTCAATTTATTATGGTCGTACTTGTATTTACTGTGCTCGGTATTATTATCCTATCAATTGTACATGTCCCCAGGCTGTTCAGACAGTCTTTGTCTTTTTTAGTTCAGCTCCATTGTATTGGTGTCTGCAAAATTTAAGAGTGATGAATGCTCGTTATCATTCTCTTAACCGAGGATTTTCATCAGTGGATTATTGCTTTGACTTGAAAGAGGAAGGACTCTAGAGAAGTTACATGCCCATGTTTTAGGTAGTCCTGGTCCATTATGACAACACCGCCAGTCTTGTGTTACTTACCATGAGGCTATTTAGTTTTGGTGTAAGGGGTTTAAGCTCCAGCTGTGAACAGTAAGCACTAAATACAGGCATGATCAATGATGCCATGTGGAGGGCACAGTAGAGGATATAACTGATTCATGACCAGATATATCACATACAAACTTTACAAGCAAAAGGGTAATAGAAAATGACTTGGACAGAGAATGATAATCAAACTATAAAAACGAAGAAACTAGTTTCACAAGTTTTTGGTTGCAGAGCTACCTTATTACAAGTTAGTTATCCTGTAATTGCTTGGTACAGTGTTTATTGACATTTATACGTTACTTGTACTGGTGTTTTTGAAGTAGACAATGTTTGCTTTTAAAACAATGCATTGTTGTTCCTTTACTCTTCATTAGTACGTTTCAGTTAAACTCACAGAAGACATCAAAGCAAGTTCATTTTCCAAAAATCAAAAAGTAAGTCTGAAATTACCTATTTTACTATTGCAGTTAGGGATGCACGGGTATTAAAATTTGGCCAAATACTGGGTCTGGGTACCCCTTTTTGTTGGATTAGTAATGATAAGCAGTGAAGTCAAAAATTGGATAATTCAGTAAAAAAAGGTTGATTTATCAGGAAAAATCTTTATGCATGATATGCAGTGAACTTAGAAACTATGTTTTACAGAATTGCCTTACAAATTTGGCACGTGGAACTATGGAGAAGTATGTAGTACTGTCAAATAACTGACCAAATTTGGCCAATTTACCGTTAGATTTAAGGGTATCGTATCTATTAAGTTATGAAAAAGTAGTGGAGAATGCATTCTAGAATACCATTTCTAATCCTGGATTACAATGAAATTAAAATATGCATCCAGAATGTCATCTCTAACCCTAGTGTACAGTAAGAATATAGCATTTATTAAGAATGCTGTCTCTAACCCTGTTTTACAGTGAATTAAAATAAATATATATTTGTATGGAATCAGATAAGATAAAGAAGAAAATCTCTGTGAAAGTATAAAAGATTGATACCTTTTAGATGACGAGGATTGCTTGACGTTTTTAATGTCAGAGTGTTTTTTCAGGTTTTTAACTATAGTATTACACAAAAGATGAAAGCTTAAGCAATGTGATATGAGATGATTCTTTGTTGGTAGATGTAAATTTTTTGAAGATAATTTATGTAAAAGTGGACTGCAGTTTATGTGTCATTTACAATGTTACAGGTTTACATTGACCCTGCTCGGCTGCTCCCCCTACAGAGGTTTCTCCCTAAACCACCTGGAGCACCGAATAAAGTTCAGAAGAGAGGAGGGGGAAGAGGTGGAGGTAGTATTTATTTTAAGATAGTGTTAATTATGAAAGGTGTTTTATGCTATATAATAACATTTTTTTTAGTTCACAGTAATTTAATGTGACACACTGCATTTTAAAAACATGGTTTGTGTTGTCTGTAATATTCATCTATAAAAATTGTTTTCAAAATATTTCTTATTTATTATGCTACTGAACTAACTGCTGTAGAATTAATATCTTCCTGCAGGCTTTCCTGTTACTGAATAACTTAAAATGATAGTTATTACAAATATCAGTAAATTTACTCTAAGTGTACAGATCCTGACTGCTATAATTTTCTAAGGAATATAGTTACCTCACTAAATATATTTTAACTTTTTCCTTGAAGGTGGTAGAGGAGGACGTGGAGGATTTGGTGGGAGAGGAGGAAGAGGAGGTTTTGGTGACCATAGAGGACGAGGAGGTGGTGGAAGAGGACGTGGAGGGAGAGGGGGATTTGGTGATCGTGGAGGGAGAGGGGGATTTGGTGATCGTGGAGGGAGAGGGGGATTTGGTGATCGTGGAGGGAGAGGGGGATTTGGTGATCGAGGAGGGGAGGAGGATTTGGTGATCGAGGAGGAAGAGGAGGATTTGGTGATCGAGGAGGGAGAGGAGGACGTGGTGATTTGGTGGTGGTAATGGCACTGGACTTAACCAAAGAAAGTCTTTTGGTGACTAATGTATTTGAATTTACATTTTATAACTCCTTTACTTTGTACAAATGTTTTAGTAAAACGAATGTGTTTGTTGGTTACTAGTATGTTTTATTTTATTGACATAAAGAAGCAACCACAACTAGGTAATATTTGTAACTTTACTGTTTGTGTTAACTCCATACACAGGCTTGGTCATTTTGATTGAACGTGTAACCATGAAACTATATATACTATACGTTTTTACATGGAACAGCATGATTATCCATTTCATTCTTCAGCTGCTTAACGTATACAACCATTGAATAGGAGATATGACTGGAAGCCTTATCTTGGTAAACCCATACCCTATTGGTTTCATGAATGTTTACTAAGGTTGGTGTATGACTTGTTACAGGTCTCTTTTTAGATTGCCCTTTTACCCCAAATTGATCCATATTCCTTTATTTTCTAATGCCATTAAGTAAATGGGATATCCCCATCTTGAAAATTGTAAACCCCCGATCTGAACACATCTTTATTTTTTATGATATAATTGTAGGGCTGTTACATACTCTTACCAAAAACAACCAATTTTTGGTAGTTCCGATATTTTCCATTCCACAGAAATTTTATATTATCTTTTAGAAATTCCCTACTATTCAGCTAAATAGCTTAAGTGTTTATTGCAAGTTGTCGTACGAACATCTTCAACCAAAATTCACGTGATAGCTTGGAAAAGATCACAATGCCTATAACTTTAAAGATTACTTTGGAGAACTTCTTAACAACTGTCTTATCCCTCTGTGTCACTTCCTGGGGGAGTGAGTGGGGTTAAAGGTACATTACACATTGTGTGACAATAAATCCAGTGGTTTGTCAAGTAATGGTTTAGATTATCAGGGTCACAGAAAAATGGCTAAGACCTTGTGGCCTTACACCCAAGGTTTGACTTTTTTTTTCCACTTCAAAAACATTTTAATTTTAAATGAAAAAATGAATAAATTACCATACCATTGAGGCTTAATATGCAACTCTTAAATTTGCAAGGATTGAGTAAAGTATCGCACATTTTAAGTCTTTTTTATTTAAATATCCTACATCAATTAATTACAAACAAAACAAAGCTAAATAAAAAAAACAGTACAAACTTTGTGTTTAACGTTAGTAATATACCAAAATGAATTTCATGATACATAAAATGAAACGTATAAACTATCACTCTAGATGTCCCATCAACTTCAGTACCGAATAGGCCTACTTTTATTATTTTTACCTCATTATTCACATGGATTGACTTTTCTTGTTTCTTTTAATTTACAATTTAAGGGACAACAAGGTATTTGTTTTCTTAAAAGTTATGCTAAAATTAAAGTTAATCTTTCTTTTCTTACCTCACTATTTGGTAACAATCAGCCACAGACTGGTTACTGTAAGGTACAGTTAAACAAACTACCATGCCAAATTTTTCAAAGAGAAATGTTGTCATTATTAAGCAGATCATGTGCCTAAATTAACCTATGACATGGTTAGTAAATTATACTGTCTTTTCAGAGTGTTTAATCAACAATGTCTTCCAGCACAATTAATACAAACGGAACAAAGTAATGCCATTGCATCTGGTGGTGTAATAGTAATTATAACATGTACTTGCAAGTGAATTTTTTATCATAAGTTTGGCCAGTAGATATAAGAAAAAATGATGAAACTTTGTTAAATGGGTGGCAACTGCCTGTTGTAGAAACGCAAGTGTAGAGAACGATGTTTCGAAGGCCTTTCGTCTTCAGGCTAAACAATCTATCAAAGGTATAAAAAATTTTCAACATAGTATTTCAATACCATAAATGCTGATAATACTAGTCATATTAAGGTTATTATGGACCCTGTAACAGGTTTTAATGTTAGGCTATGAAAGTTAGTGTAGAAATTCAAAGGAAATAAAGTTGACTACCAAACTATAGGAAAATCTGTGAGGAAGTTACAGTCCTTGTAAAAGTGAGTAGGTTAAATATTTTATGTAGTTTTAGAAACGGATGTCAGCACATTTTTTCTTCATGTAAACTAGGTCCAAGTTAAGTAAACACACAGTATCTGTAAATAGGTCTGGTCTAGATGATTTGGGTGATTTACACGTTTTATATGTATCTGAATGAATTGTAGTCTAGATTTTTATAATTTCAAAGTTTGAGTACAATGTTTTTATTTCCCAATTTGAATCCCTAAGAATGCCTGCAACTTTATATTACGAAATGTTTTAGCTGTCCAATAACATCAGATTCAAGTATTTTATCTTCAGGTACATTCCAAGACAATGAACCAGCTTAAAAATAAAAGTCCTAATTACGAACTACTACTGTACATGTGTCAATAAACAGCAGAACTATTTCTGGGGTCTCAAAGGTTACTTTAATCCTACATATACCAAGTGGACCCCAATGTGTTTTTGAAATATTTTTTTGAAGCTATTCATGCATCAAATTGTTTTGTTTTTTTTTCCTAATATAAAAAAATTACATAAAAGTACCATTGATATTACAATTAATACCACAGAGTTAAAATATGATTTTACTTGGTTTTTTTTATATTGAGTTGGAACAGGCAAAAACATCAAATTTCTTAATATAATTCACTATTTGTTTAGTCCACGTATTGTAAGGTATTAAAAACATGTTCAGTAACTTGGAGGATTTGTTCTGTAGAAGTAAAACTGCATCCACTCTGTTTTGATGCTAGCTTGCCTTATAGTTTCAGTAATATAATTTTTGGTCTTATTTACAAGTTGTAATTAGTATGTAGGTGAATAATACACAACTACAGGGGTACTCGGTAGAACGCATACCTCCGCCACACAATATCGATCATATTTGGCTCTAAAAAAATTTGGAAAATGTGTCCTTATGTCCATCATTATCAATGGACTTGGATCAATTTTGGCAGGACAACGAGAAATAATATTCTACGTATGTCCAGCACGTTTAATCAAAATCCAACCATTTTTAATCTTTTTTAAAGAGCAAAAATAATGTGAATAATCCAATCCCCCATGTTAACAGATAGGGATTTTTTGGATTTTCGTCACCTTGATCCTCCATAAACTCATCATTTCTAAGTTGGATCATAATTGAAAGGTATACCAACCTTCATCCAAATCCATTTGGCCATTTTCAAGAAATCTTGCTGACAAATACACACAAACACAGGGGTGAAAACATAACCTTCGGTGGCAGAGGTAATTAACTCTGAACCATAGTGGGCAGTGACTTGTTTTAGTACATAGGGAAGTAATGTTTTGAGGTGGTTAAGAAATAAACACACTGTTTTTGTTTCTACTTCTATCATTTTCCGAATTGATGTAAAGACAATACATGTAAAATTTGGAAATCACTGTAAACATTCAGCAACACAAGTTTTGATATTTTTATATTTCCAGCATAGGAACATACAGTAGTGATAAACATTTCAAGTTAACAGCTTAGTAAGGAAAATTTTTGGTATATTATATTAATTATACACAAATGTCTACTTTTTTAAATATTCCTTATTAAATACAAATTTCACAGTATGGCAGTATAAAACTAGTGATAATTTCGAAGCTTTTAAATATCTTTTTTTTTTTAAACAGTATTGTACAGTGAATAAATATAATGGTGTAAGTTATTCAAGGTCAGCTACCACCTTCAGCTTTTAAAAAAAAACTGATCAAATGCATGACATAAATGAAGCACCATTCTTGAAAATATGATTTTGAAGAAGCAAGCACTATGCTTCCAAGTCTAGCCCTAATCCAAGTTTGTGACCTCCAGAACTTAGGTTTTTTCCATCAATTAAACAAGATAAGGTGAGTTGTACACCTGTTAAAAAAAGAGAGAGATATTAAACATCATAAAAAAACAAAAGTTTGAAGTCAATTCAATATTCTTGAATATCCAACATTCCTCAAATATTTCATAATTTGTTAGTAATTGAAATTGATATGATAAATAAATATTCATGAACACTATCTCCTGCAGTTAAAAGTTTAAAATCTGGATTTTTATAACATAAAAATTCTTAACAATAAGCACTTTTATTTTGTAAGAACAAATGTAAAAAGTTGGATAAATATAATTAATCCAAAAACATTTTTATCATTAACGTAAGTATTAGTTAGCTTTACAATGGTTAACACTTTCACGACAGGCTTGGTATAATATACACATTAAGTATATATACTATGCAGTAAGTGAATCTTCACAAAATTTGGTAGACTTTTAGTAAAGATTACAAGCCTTTCAAACACAAACACTCAGGTTTTTTTAATGAAGTATTTTCATAATAATTTGTTTGTGAAAATATTGAATCTGTTTTGTTACCAGTCCCAAGTGCGAAGTGATTTTCATGTTATAACTAAAAAAACTATTATTTGTCCCAAAAATTTCAAATGTTATTTGTGTAATCTCTAAAACCTCCTAAATACATTTCAAACGTTTGTTTTCAGTTTTTTTCTGTTATTTTCTCTACTCTAACTCTATGGGGTCTGTCAATTTGACTGGCCTCGTAACCACCATAAAAAATTAAGAAGTAAATTTAAACTATGCTTTTTTCATTCTACAGATTATAACACGATTGTTTAGTCTAAATAGCTTAAATCTCATAACGTTATATATTTATTATATTGACCTTCCAGCCATGCCTGGCTAACAATACAGAAGTTACAATGACGAGGCGCACATGCACTCGTGACACCATATCCAATAATATAAAACTTACCTGTCTTGGCTGTGCTTTAGTGGACTAGTATTTTGTAAAATACAGTCACATTTCAATGATTATATTTATATACATTAGTACTATTTACAAATAAGTTCTCAAAACACAGAACAGTAAATAAAGAATCAAACAATTATCTCTTCTAGTTACGACCTTTGTATTCATTTGCTGCTTGTCATGGGTTGCTAAGCCTTATGAACTTTCCCTCATGGAGAATGTGAAAAGAAATTTTTTTAGGTTTTATATATGCACTTTAAATAATAATAAAAAAAAAATTACTATATCAATACCATAGAATTCCACTATAATTTATCAGGCTTAGTAACTAAGCTGTATTTAGGTCTCACTAAAGAGTTACCTTATCCCCTTGAAATCTTGTGTGAAAAGAACGAGATAAATACAATAACACATCAAAATGGCTGAGAAAAACCACTAGGGGGACATTCTGAGCTTTTGACTGGTTATTCACACATCATATATAGAAGTAAGTGTATATAAGGAAGGATTTCCAAAATTGGAAAGAGAGGGCCACTGTGTTTGATTCAGTACATCAGCGATATCTTAGCAAATAGAAAAGAGGTTCTTATTTTATATGTTAGCTTGTCAATATCGGTAGTTTGAATTCCTAATTCATACGAAACTACAGACTTTGTATTTTGACATCATAAACATCTAATTTGAACCAGTGCTGCATTCAACATATGTCATTAGCTGTGTATTTTTTTTTGATATTTTTAAATTAACTAACATATAGTACTAAAATCTGAATTATAATCTACAATCTGATACCAAATTTATTGACATAAATTTATGAAATAGTAGTTCAATAAAATTTTGAATGAAAGTGAACAAACACGATGACATGGCCTTAACTGAGAGATGATGAGTAGGAACTGAATATCCAGTTGCTATTTATTCTAATCTCATTGATTTAATACCTACACAGCCACTAATATCCAACAATAATATAAATGCTCAGTATTAGATAAAATATCAAGTTGCTATTTATCCTAATCTCATTGATTTAATACCTACACAGCCACTAATATCCAACAATAATATAAATGCTCAGTATTAGATAAAATATCCAGTTGCTATTTATCCTAATCTCATTGATTTAATACCTACACAGCCACTAATATCCAACAATAATATAAATGCTCAGTATTAGTTAAAATATGCAATAACTAAGAAGCACAACAGCATTATAGAATTACCATCTCTCATCTTGTGAGTACAGCCTAATCCCAGTTGACTGGAGTTGTTCACTTTACCCTGTAACAGAAAATTATACCTAATAATTCTCAAATAAAGATTTCTTGATTATGCAAAAATGATTTATGGTAGAATGAAGAATAAATGCTTTATAAAAAGGCAAAAATGTAATTCAGCAACACAGAAACAACCCAATACAAATTCTAATCCTACAAAAGTATACAGTACTATCACGTTAAATGAATTTTAAAGGAATTTGAACAAATTAGAAATAATTTTAAAGTCAGTTCACTCTTTTGTTAGGTATTACAAGTCATACAGTGTAAGTTATCAGTACAACTATTTTTTTCTTATGACTTGGAAAAATTTGCGTTTTATTGATAATTGATTTCATTTTAATTAAAGCAAAAAAGTCATATATTTATATTCACTTTTCACAGCTTAGAAATTTAATTTTTTTGCTGGCATTTACAAGTTCTCAACCATGAAATTACTGAAATTGTCATTATTAACTTGTATATAACAAATCCTGACAACATGGCAACACAAAGATGTTCAAAATAGAAGTAAATTAATACAAATATTTTGCCGTTTACATCCTATTTCCATCATTTCTTATATGCAAGTTTGTTTGTGTTATCAAAGTATTTTAAAAACACTTTTCTTTCAGACATAAATCACTATAAAATGCACGTTGGCATTATTCATATCTGAAACATAAAACATTGTAATATAACATGAATTAAATACTGAACAATCAAATAGGCTTATGGATCAGCAAAATATATATATATAAGGAGAAAAATGCAAAGGTAATAAAATAAAGAAATTAGACTTTTAGAGTAATTTATTTATTTGGCAATGTTTCAAGCAAACAATGTTTGTTTTTTTATGAAGTTTTAGCAACAAATGGCAGCACATTTGTTCCACACATAAACTAGGTCCAAGTTAAGTAAACAGACTGTATCTGTAAGTATGTCTGGTCTAGATGATTTGGGGAAGAATTACATATTTTTTATGTACTTCAATGAAAAAAAAAAGTCCTGATTATGAACTACTACTGTATACACATGTCAATAAACAACAAAACTTTTTCTGAGGCCTCAAAAGTTACCTTGTTTCTGGCTTGAAAAAGACTGTTTGCTTGAAATGTTGCCAAGTAAATAAATTACTATCACAGTGATTTAAAGGTGATTTTTCTATGATTTTTTAAGATATATATATATACAAACCCTGAAAGTTGTGTTGCCATCTATTTTGTACGTAAAGCCTATACCAAAACGAGAGACATTGTTGCCAGCAGTCCAGGCCAACTGGATAGCTGTATCTAGTTTATCACTTATTTTCTGATAGACAGAACCTCCAAACTCCTGTCCGTCATTACTGAAATTAAATCTAGTTACATATTTATCTGATAAATCAAAAGAACCTCATTACAAAATATAGCAAATATTTTTATAACTTTCATAAAAATGTAGTTTAAAATTCTGAAAATTAATTAAGTCAACTTTTATGTTATACATATTTGTTTAGTTTTTATTGTCAATGTTTTTTTTTGTTATTAATTAACAATCATATGCTTTTTAGTTAAGACATATTAACTATTTCTGTTTTAAAGGCTACCAATGACAAATATATAGAGAAGTACATTACATTAGCTGCATTTACTGGGTTAATTTGTAGTTTTATGATGGTAGTTTGTTCTGTTCAACAGTTAATGATAAAAAACAACTTTTTCCATATCATTCCTTGCAATAAACAAAAAGAAACCATTAAAGATTTTACTCAGTATGTACACACTAAAAATGGGTATCTCATATTTGAACTTATAAAGTGTTGAAAGTATAACTTACACATTTGTGTGAAGAGTGAAGTCAGAGGCTGAGTATCCCACTGAAAAGTTGTTTCTGGTTAGCATACTTTTTGTTGTATCAAAAGACATCTGATAACCAGCCAACCAACCATGACAACTAATATATTAAAATACAACAGATGTTGAAACTTATTACATACACCCGTTTCATTTTTGTGTAAAGACGTAAAGCATTCAGTTTGATTAAATATTTTTAACAGCTGTGTGTAGGAAAACAATTTGATTAAATATTGAACTAACATAACTTTCCATGTTTTTGATACCAGTGTGGACCTTCCATATAATAAATATCAAAGAAAATTCAAGTGGAAGAAAATTATTGTTCTTATACTGAATCTTAAAGAAAATTAAAAAATGCTGAATAGGAATTATCAACTCAGCATTAACATATCTTTATAATGCCATGTATTTTTTAATTTTGAAAAACATCAACAACAAATAACTGTTTTATGACAACACTGAAAAAAAAATAACAATATATGCACATGGAAAATTGGTATGGTAAAAATATGAAATGTCTAGCAATTCAGTAATATTAAAAAAAAACAGGTTATGGCATTAAAGTATGTAAATATCTTAGTCATATTTTTTATCATTATTACAGAATAAATTTCCTCTTAATATAACAAATATATATATATATACAACTAGAGAAAGATTTTTTTATATCTCATGTTATATTTTTGCAATAACTGATATATAACATATCAATAGTATGAAACTTGGCAACGTTGTACAACACACTTGGTAACATGGTGCTGGATTATGAAACCTTCAGATGTGACATGATTTGCAAATAGGTTTCCTTACATCTACAAATACAGAGTATTCTGGCCTCCAATTTCACCTGATTTCAACCCTCGTGACTTCTTTCTCCGAGGTTATTTCAGGTAACCTAAACACTATTCAGGGGCTTAAAAGTACAGTATTTCCCAGATCATCATTCACATTGTTACGTGCAATCATACCTCACATGACATCCCCAGTCACAGTCCTAAATGAATATCAAGTTTTTTTCAGTAAAACTATATATTTTATCTGTTATTTTCTATACCCTAATACTAACTATATATGGCACTGGTTAATTTGACCAACTTTGTAACCACCACATGCACATGCTATTGATTATCTAACCTAGTACATTTTGAAGTTTTAAATTTTAATTACTTTTATAACAAGAAATAAAAAATATACATATAAAACAAGTAATTCAGTAATTAAATATGGATCTTTGTATTTTTTGCAGCTAAAGTCTCGATAAAAGTTAACCTTACTTTTGGTAAGGTTTTTATTAGCACTTTATTGAATTTTTATTTATAACTAAATATGCGATTTAGAGCACAAAATAATGCACACAAAGAATACAACGAAGTTAACCAGCTTTCTAATTAAGCTATAAATTGGTTAAAATTATTCCATTGGCTAGTTGAGGTGAATCAGCAATAGCAAAGATTGAAAATTTTGGATGAATAATATGGTAAGAACAATCTAGTCTTATAAGGAATTCAGTAAATTGAAATCTTTTCTTTTATTGGTTATAACTACTCCAATAGCAAATTTCAGAGACAATTATTGATATTTTTTGAAAGACAACATGTGATAAGAGAGTATACCATGTGGGTTTTGCTTTCTTGTTTATATCTCAGTGAAGAAAGAAGACTGGAGGCTTTCAGTTTACATTGTCTTAGAAATACCTATATTATAAGCATGTGATTTATGTTAAATTCCGAAGCTCATATAGGGGTAGAAAGAATACCTGAAATGGGTAATTCTGAGTAAAGAAGTGTCGTGTCATACAAAGAAATTAAGAAACCAAGTATTACATAATATAAAAATTTGAATTATAAAGTACATTTTGATGCTAAGTTTATTGACACTCATTTATAATTAAGTAGCTTAATTACATTTTGAATGTAACTTTGTAGAAAAAGATTGTAACATGTTCATTTTGACCTACATATAATGAAAGTAATTCTTATTAAACCACACTGTTAGTTACTGATAAACCAACACAACTGATTCTTCATCGTACATGACTATTATATATCAAAAACAGATCATCATGAAAGAAACACTTACTGTAAGACCCCTGCACAATGAAAGACAATTCCCAATAGATCCAGATCTATGTCAGTATTTAGATGAAAATTTTTTAACTTGTATGCTGTTTTCAGAGTCCCTGTCTTCTTTCTAGGGAAGAAAATTTTAAAAAATGAAATAATTAGGCTAACTAATTACATGTTTTAAAGCCTTCAACATGAGAATATTATAAGGGTATCTTCAGATAATTTTACTTACATCTGATGTTGATAAAAGTAATTAGCATTATAATGTTTTTAGAAAGACATTTAAAAAATTATCATATAAATCTATAGTTCTGATGTTTTTTGCATCTTTTATGCAGTGAGTGACAATTATACAAATACTACAGTCCTTCAAAAGTTCAACATAAAATACCATTCTGTGTTACTCAGCTCCACACATTTGTTTCCTATTTTTACTTTGTTACTGGGTCCTGTGTGAGTTAGCTATTTTCTGAAGCCAACATACTGTGTATCAAATAAAGTGGCATACATACATGCATATATATATTTATTATTACCCTTCCAGTAGCCATTCTCACATCCCTGATCAGAAAGTAGATTACAGGGCCCCCAAGTTCACTTTCACACTCAGGTAATCTCACTAACTTACTTATAAATTAACAATTTGACTAATAAACAAAAGGGAGAACATTTATATTATTAGAAATGTAATACATTTGACTTCATCTGCGTAGAAACATCAAAAATGCATGTAAGGAAATCTGAAATCAAAGCTAACTTAGCAGATTAAATAGTAAATAAATGTGTCTGTCTCATCGAGAGGAGACAGTTACTTGACCACTATCTTATAAATACACATGATTGCCTGCAATAAAAGGAAATTCCAGTAACTGACTGTATTACGAAATACACAGAATCTAGTGAAAAATGTAGATTACACAAAATGTTTAGGTTCCATTCACAATTATCAACTTTAACAAAATAGCACAAAGAGTACTTTTTTTTCTGTTCCGGTTAAAAAGGTCTGATTATATTTACATAAATCCACTGATCATGATGAGTGTATCTTAAAACAATATGACAACATTATAAGGTTTCATAGCCAATCCTAAGCAGGTACATACAGACAAACATTAAGTTATACAGATTAAATCCTTACACAATGAAAGCAGAAGAATAACAAGCAATTGGAATGGTAAGATTTAAAAAAATTTGTAAAAGTATATATACACCTACCCTGAATGAGGCACAAAAACTCCATCAAACCCAAGCTTTAAACCCTTAACTAGCTGATCTTCAATAGATAATTCTGTTGCTAGTGTATTGTCTGTATTCCACTTCTCTTTCAAGGTAAACCCTGTTTGCAAGTAAGCAAAAACATTATGTGCAATTAATCTGAATATACAAAAAAAAAACATTTGTTACATTTGCTGAAGAGAGGAAGAGAAGGTCAAGGTGCGATATTAACCACGTATTTCTCTTCTTCCTTACAACAACTTCATCGTATTCTCTATTTATAGATAATATAAAGAACGTAACTTAGATAACTCATTCAAAAATACATTTCATTAAGAAAAGGTATGTTTTATAAAACTCCAAGTAATTAGTTTTTACAAGCCAAATACTAGCCACAATTACAGGATTAAGGAAGTCCAGTTATTGCAAATATTATGCCAACCTTGACTCAAAGTTTTACATTTTTCACTTTCTTCTTAAACTGGACATACAAGTTTCTCTTATTGTATTAATGTTTTGGATTTCATTTTTGTCTTTAAAAAGTAATATGCAGTATTAGTAGAGATAACATTTCAAATTTTAAAACAAATTTTTCTATTAACTGCACTAGTATAAAATGTTTTTAATATATTGCATTGAAAAATATCATTTAATGCAATTAAATATCACAATAAAATCTTACCATAATCACTAATTTTGTATTTAGTTTCAAGTGATCCCTGAACTCGTCCAGTATCGCTATTAGAAGTCCCACTTGCTGTGAACTCAACACCATTTTCAGTTTTGGTTTTACATTCCAGCTTCAATAAACCAAAATCTATGAAAAAGTTTTATTTGAAAGCTTCTGTTAATCTATATCCACAGTAAAACATTTCTTGTCATTTACGTGTTTTCATTACTGAAAATTTCGTACAGTTGTTAGAGAAAAATAACTATAATTATGATTCCATATATATATTTTCCAATCCATACTAAATTAAAATATCAAAATAAGTAATTTAAAAATCAGACATAAAACAATCAAATAGTAATTCAAACAAAATAATTTTCACAAGTTATTTATAAGATTCCTATTTCATACTTACAAAATATTCAGCACTGAATTTTATTACATGTTATGCAATATTTATTGGTCATAAATTAGTTGTAACTCTAATGGGAGTATTTTCATCTTTGGACAAATGTTTCTTTAATCTAAATTTTATTTTATACCTATAAAAAACTTTATTTGGAGACATCTATATAGTAAAATGATTGGACAGAGAATTTATAAATGTAATCTTAATATAAACTGGGACTAGCATTCACTGAACAATGATTTGCCAAATCCTTTCAATGATATCTGTGAAAATTAAACTGTACATGCTTATCATTCAGACATGGCATTATCTTTATAGAAATGTAAGGAATTAATTATTAATTTTCTTTAATTCTACAATAAAATAGGCCTAGTCCATGTTGAGTACAATAAGCTTAAAGTTTTTACTCAAGTTTGAATACATAACTGCTAATGTGCTCACAATACAATTTGTAACTATTACATTAAAAAAATATTATGCAAAGTATAAGTTTCAAATAAAATTTAGGAAAATAAAAAGTATAAGGATAAACTAATATTTTTTCTAGATTGCAAAAACAGATTCATTAAAGTCAAGTATAAGGGTGCTCAAGAAAACTCACTATAATTTTTGTTAAACACATCACGGGCTGTTTTTCCTAAATCAGCATAGCAAGGAGGGACCATATTTCAACACTGACAATCTGCAATAAACACACATAGAAAGAATTTCTACCATTTAAATATACCAGTAGATGATAATCAAAACTGAATTTCTTACATGATTCATTAACCTCTTTAATAAGATTGCCAGATTTATTCAACCCACTTTGACAGTTGTAACATATATAAATATATATATATATATATACTCTTAGAGTCTACCTTTAAAACTAAGTTACATGTATTATTAAACCTATTTCATGAATAATAATTAATTTAAAATCTATGCACCTGTTTGTATCAGTCCTTTTTAGGCTAGGTCTAGAAGCTAAACAGATTTCTATTGATGCTGCAAAACTTTGAGGTCCCTCCTAATCACAACATGGGTTGCAAGTTTGGCATATTTATTCTACAATTTGGTATTATTCAAACAAGCAGAGTATTTTACACAAACACAATATGTAACTACCTGCAAGATGACCTGGTATGAACCTAATGCAATATTATAGGAACGATAAATGTTTCAGACAGAAGCATTCTGGGTTTTGTCTGTTGTAGTCTCTTGCATCGTTTTCTTTTGTACAAAAAGAGTTTTAATGAATCTTTCCGAGACTAATAAAAATCTTAAATAAATCATCTTCACATTTAACATACTACAAGTATAAAATTTTCAAAGTCAGATTTCATATTTTGAACCAAGCTCTAGACTTTATAATCCACATTAGTCTTCTTTAGCTCCTTTTTTTATCTTCATAAACCACAACATCCTCTATTTTATCATTAAATTTCATATTTATGAGAGCTATATACTCATTATTTATTTATGACATAATCTGATATTTTCCCATTTTTATCATAAAGTTTAGTTTTAATATAACAATTCAGGAAAATATAGTTAACTCCAAAAGACATACACAGGAATATGAGAAATTAAAAATACTGATAGTGCCCTATGTATTGATTTCGTTATATAAGGTACAGAACCAATCATATTTATATCATGCATTTTGATCATGACATTTTACATCATTCAACACATCCACTTGCCTTTCATGTCTACAAAATGCTTGAAAATGCGTTATGATATCAAACCCAGATGCACAGCAGCCATCAATTTAAGTTTAATTCAGTTGAGTGTAACTGATTAGATTAACAACATTTTGTTCCATTACACCGTACAGACAGTAGAATACGTACTGCTTAGACAAATTACATCCATTTCAAAACTTTCTTCGTGTAATTTTTATTTAGCATATTATATCCTAAACCTGTTTCCCAAGGCAAGGATGAGGCATCCTTAGATAAACATTTATGAAATTAATTTTTTGAATTTGTTATGCACATTTAAGTAAAAATGAAACTTTTCTGCAAGACCAACCAAGATCTTAGAGGATTAAACCCCTGTTATGAGAAACTACCATAAATCCACCATTGCTAAATAAAGTTCCATTCCTGTAACAGGAGGGGATGAAATAATTTAGTTTTTTCATTTAATTAGTGCATACCGTGTAGAATTAGTCTTGCAGCAAAATACACATTATAAAGTGTATGGTAAAACTGAAGCCTTACACAAACTTAACCCACTTAAACCAATACTATATCTAGTAGTAGTAGTAGTAGTACTAATCCTACTAATAGTGATAAAATAGCCACAATTTCATTACTTTACACTACATAATCAGTGGGTTTCAAAGTACTAGGGACATTTTTACACCCTTTTACTTTCTTTTAAATTGAATATAACATATCATAGTAATAGTACTATTAAGTTGAAAATTTAAAATGCTATTAAGCCAGTACAAATTTCAATTTCTAATTCTCAAACATGTGATATTAACTTACTGTTTAAATTTGGAAATGGCATAATCAGTGATATCACACTAGATTAACTTGGAACCAACACATTAAAAACATCACAGCCAAATTCATATCTCAACTTAATATCCTTAAAGCTTTAAGCAAACTCAAAGTCAAAATAAAATTAACAATATAAAAATCACTAGTATGTCCATCTATAGAATACAGATGCTCGGCAATACTCAATATATCAAATAACAATTATCTAAAACTACAAAGAATACAAAACAAAGCAATTAAAATAATAAACAAACCACCTAGTTATGCACACACACACACACATCAAAGAAATCCATAGATCAACTAAACTCCCATACATTAAAGACAGATTCCTCTCACTTATTAGGAACTATTTTTAAAAACAAACAAACATCTTTCTTTCCACTCATTAAACAATACTCCTCTTGGATGGCAAAGAATTCTATCTCCATATGACCTGTATCATCAAAAATAGTACCCACAGTAGACCCTGTTTTGTGAAAGGTGATAAATGCAGTCTAGGTGCAGTGACTTTCTAAGAGTACAAAGTACTTATTCTAAAATGACATTCCCCAGGAGAGCCTACACCCTAAGATACTATTGTAAATAGGTATATTGCCTAAGAAGGGTACTATTCACAGCCTTGAAAGTAAATATCATCAGAAAAAGACCAACTCCACCTTAAAAAAATTAACACACCAAATGAAAAACACTAGAGCTAAAGATGTCAGAAAAACCCTCAAGCTTGAAAAGGGCTCCAACCATGTGAAGAACTAATAAAATTTAAAAAATTAGCTAAGTTAAGCCTCAGCTGCTCTCTATATCTCGTACCTTGCTCTCTGGCCATGTTCACAACACCCCTTGACACTATACCTCGCACCTCAACCTACAATCTAAAAGTAAAACTCTATCCTTTTTACATCCTTAGGCCTCCATCCCTAAATCCCCGACTTTCCCAATGAAACAGTGAGAGCAGTAGTACGAATACTGATATTGAAGTAAAACATAATAAACTATCAGTTGCAGCGCTCTATCAGCAACCTGTAAACAGGTAGGTACTACACCATAACTAGCATTATTAATATTATCAATAATAGTATTATTAAAGTGAGTGACTAAAATCCGACGCTGAAGTAATTACACAAATACCTGACCTAACGCCGAGGTGTTGCACCGATTGTAATTTTAACTTTAAAAAAATATTAATTTAAATTTGCATGTTAGCGAACAGAATAAAATAAAAGGAACGTGACGATATTTTAATTTAGCAGCAATCCCAAAAAAATCAGATATATTAATTATACCCGATTACTCTTTAGAATTTATTGCTAGGCACGTTTGTATACTTACCCAAGAAATTAATACCAGACGTATCTTGTATTCTGGATAGCAGCCATCTGGTGTATGAAAATCAAAATAACGGGCTTAAACTAAATATGTTAAAATATCATTATATAAGTGCTATTATAATACAAAATTATATTTATGAAAATAAAACCCAAAATAACAATTTGTTTCCTTGTAGAATTTGGTGCAAGTCTACTCCAGGGCTATCTACGCTAACCATCCTTAATTTTGAAGTGATACACTAGGAGGAAGTCAGCTAATCAACTTTACCCCCCCCCCCCAACTCTTGGACTACTCTCTATCAATGAATAGTGGAATTATCCGTCATATTTTAATACCCCATGGCTGAAAAAGCGAATATATTGAGTGATAAGTTCGCTCTAACACTCAGGCCATAACAAGTCCCAAAATAACTGATATCAGAAAAATAATAACAAGGAAAGTAATAACTAGGATATATTATCCAGTAGTAGTAGATAATGAAGAACAAATGGAATGACGAACACAGCAAAACTTTATGTTAAACATTTGTGCATCTCAGTTTGTTTAGTATTATTTTAGATTGTTTCTTTTCATACAGTTTGTATTCTTTGTATTAGTGTGCCTCGATTCTCATGTTTGGCCATAAGTGTCATCTTGAAGGGTTTTTTTTTTTAATTGCTGAAATGTAGCACTAAGCCTATAACATTATTTATAAAGAATAATTTTTAAAATCTGGATTTGGATGTTTGCTATATAGCGCAAGACAAGATCTAGAAAGTTCATAAAAGTTGAGAATCGAGAAGAATCTTGTGATATGAAAAAACAAGAGTACTGTATAAATATGCAATTTAATGAATTAATGAGTGATTCAGTTCAATGACAATAGTAAGAGTTGTAGTGTCGTTTATATTATTTAGTTGCTCGCTGTATTAGTGTATTTATTTATCGATCTATTAGCTTTGCCAAGAAAGTTTATAAGTTAGGCGTAAGTATCATCAGTCTTAAAACTTGTGAACTATGAACTATGACCACCCAGCCTGACCAACAGCTGGGTGGCCGTACACTATGGCATCATTTAAGTATATGTGTTAATCCGGTCTGACTAGAAATGTTTCACAGAAACTACCATTTGCCACCCCCGAGCTGTCGCTTCACCCCGAAATGACGGATAAATGTGAAGTTCGTCTTTGTCACCCAGCTTAAATGCCAGGGCCCTCAGAAGGTCAGTCTTCTTTGTCTCCATCCCATTTCCACTAGCCTTTTGTGAACTCCTATGTTCCAAGTAAGAAAACTGTTTTTTTTACTTCTTTGATATTATTAATAAAAAAAGTCTTAGTTCATCTTTAGTACACAAAATGTAATTTATTTGACCAGAAAAAAAAAGACCGAGTCAGATTATCTTGAAGATCACGTGGCACCACTGATCTAAATATTTACATAGCTTTAATCAAACCTTTTAGTTCTACATCGAAGAACGCGTTAGTCCTAAATATACGAATTTGGTACACGTATAGACTCGGGAATAAGATAGATTTTGCTTTTCCTATGGTCTGATGGTAAGAGCACTGGAATCGCAATCCGTGCGTGGATTCGAATTCCGTTACCGAATAGGCTCGTCCCTTTTAGTTATGGGGATGTCATAATGTTACAGTCAATCCCATTATTCGTTGGTTAGGAGTAGCCCAAGAGTTGGTAGTGGGCGGTGCCGACTAGCTACTTTTCCTCTACCCCTACCACACACTTCAATATTAGGTACGGCTATCGCAGTTTGCTGTCCAGTAGATTTGAGCGAAATTCAACAAATGAGCTTCTACTACAAATTATTGGTCAAAACAGCTTTACAAGCACATTTTTTTATATAAGTGGTGATTATGGTGGTTTTAAGTAAAAAAAATACACAAAGATTGACTTGTAAAACGTCTATAGAACTACGGTTTCAGAAATCAGTTGGCATCACAAATATTTTTTTTCAAGTGCAAACATATGTGCCCAGTGTTCACAGTAGAAAGTTAGTCCTGAATTTTAGTATTATGAGCTCTTAAGCTTGCCCAGAACCAATAGGAGAGGGGCTCAAAAGCTGTTGTTATTTAAATAATTCACTTATCAAAACGTGACTGAATAACTTGTTATAAAATACATAAATTACTATAAAAAAGGCTGTTGCAAAAAGAGTTAATTTTGGCAAGATCTTTAACCAGTAGTTTATATATATATATACATAATTGTGTGTAGCTTCTTATCGTACTGTTACGACAGTGGAGGTCACGTGACTCTAGTAACACGTCATTGACTTCTAGAAATATCCTGTTCCTTCATGAATGCTCTAGCGTTTACTAGATATTGTTGAGTCGAGCACGTGAGACGTTCATTGAGAATTATAGCGTTTGTTATAGCGCGACTGTTGAAATTAAGTGTATCGCAAAGTTATATTCAGAAAGAATAAACCAGTTTTATTTAAGAAAGGACTCGTGTCGCTAAAGTTTCGTCGGAACGAATTTACGGAAAATTAACTAACAAACAGAGACGTAACAGTACTAAGCCTTACATATTATCAACTGTACTCTTTCCATTGCTACGAAAAAACATCGAAAGATTTTTCGGTTAGTTAATTTGACATTATTTTCCCAGCTTGTTAGATTCTTTAAGCTTGTGTTGTCAGATAAATCAAACCTGAATAAAAATTCGTCCCCCCCCCATCACGTGTTTAGTTAGCTTTTATGATGCCCAACTACGACAACGTGATTCTGAGAATTAGTACAAAAACCTACTTTAATAAAAATTGTTCTTACAGAGTGTTCAGTACGTTATACTAAAATGATGTTGAATATGCAAATCAGCAAGTCAAGTGAGAACCACAGCCGATATAAACTCGGAGTGGAATGGCATGTATAAAAGCTACATTATTACACTGTCTGGTAGTTCATAAGTAGAGTTATGCCACCGAAAACTGATAGTTTTTGGAAAAGGTATGTAACAGTACTTTCCGATGCAAAATAGTCATACACACAGGTCATAAAGGCGTATTGTGTTCATATTAGAAACTCAGAATTTCCAATATCATTTAATATCACTTGTACTTAATGACATTGGAAAACAAAATAATATGGATCATTTTGAGGCACCAGGTCTATCCTGAAAGAAACCTGCTGGAAATTGTGTCCTAGCTGTGGTAAGCAAAGTGTGGCATCTTGTACAGAAGAGAATTCATGAACACAAATTTTAGTGGCAAAAAGCTGTCCACATATCCCAGACAGTAGTTGAGACTATCTGTGCTAGCCATCCTTAACCTAGAAGTGATAGACTAGACAGAAGGCATCTAGTCAACATCACCCACTGCCAACTCTAAGGCTAATGTAACTGAATAGTTGGATTGATCATCAAATTAAAACACTCACACAGCTAAAAGGGTCGACCATGTTTGGTGATGGGATCTAAACCTGCAAACCACAGATTGCAAGTCAATTGCTCTAACCACTAGGCCAACATAAGCAAGAGCGACCACTGTCTGGAAAATTGACACAAGTCAAATGTAAACAATTTAATTTCATGACATATCCATTCAATCACTGTCTTAATACCCTGGATGGATTATGAAAATTAAGTCGGGGGGGGGGGTTCTGATAAATTGAATATATTCTTTAAAAAATTATTTGTTTTGTCTTAAGTTGTTCAGAAATTGCAAAAAAAAAATTGGTCAAATATGCTAACTTCTTTGTCTTGGGCTTTTGGGAGAAATACATGATTACTTGAATTCTTAGTTTATTTTGCTTTTCCCTTTGTTTGTAAATCTAAAATAGTTTTAGTAAGGAGTTTTAAGAAGAAATTATACAAATTCTTGTTTCTATCTGTTGGGGAGTTTAGTGGTTTATTTTTTTTTCTCACTTGGAGGTCTCTGCATCTAATCAGGAAAGTGTGGCAAGTCTTGTTGCAAGTGCTAAACGTTCTTTTCTTTTGTTCGAAGAATTGTAAGAAATATGTCTGATAAATACACTGAAGAATGTTTTTTATAATCCATGTATTAAACATGTCTGATGGACACATTTGTTTGTCAAATATCATGCATCATCAGAAGTATCAACCTTGTTTATTTTAGAATATTAGCACATTGTCATACATAAAGTGCCACTTGAGCACAGCTGCACTTAATTTTAAACTGACAAATTAAATGGAAGGCAGCTAATCAACCATCGACTGCCAACTTTTTTATTAGTCTTTCTGAACAAATAGTGGGATTGGAGACCATCACTCTTGTAATACACCCACAGGCTCAAAAATGTGAAACATGTTTTTGTGGCAATAAGATGTGAATCATCAATCCTAGGGTTCACAAGTACAGGCATGCTAAGCAAACCACTCAGCCATGCCAATCCAGTAGTAAACAGTATTGGAAACATTTTTCAGGTACCATACCTGTCTACGAAAATATCAACAAAAAAAATTGTGTGTGTGTGTGTGTGTGCAGTTACCTATACATCTTTACAAATAACTTTAACAATAACAACAAACAAGCAAGTTAAATCCTTACAAAATAAGACAGTAAAACATCCAAAATAAAGAAAAAATACAAAAAAAATTACAACAGACAAAATTTTACAAAGACGTGGTTTAAGACAGACCTGGCTAGTAGGTTTCAGGAGCAATGAATCCGTTAGCACGGATGGTAGGTTGTAGGGTGCTGCTGAATAGCTGCATTTCCCGCTGGCCAGTAGTTCAAAATTACATAAAATGGCAGATTTGCCATAAATACAAAATAAAAATAGGTTTGGGAAATGAAATTTATGTTTATTTCTAAACTACAATTACAGAGCAAAACCAGTAAAAATGTTATAAAATACCTTAGTTATTAACTGAAAGCTTTTTTTTTTTTCTGGTTCAAAGCTTGAAAAAAGAATATGAAACTTCAAATTTGTGCACATAACATTCCAGTCCTTACAGTTTCCAAGTTTTACAATGAAATCCTAAGTTCAACTCTTTTTTTATTATTATTATTATTATCCATATGATGATTATACCCTTTTGGAGTGATTAATAGGCTTTTTTTATATAAAATACATTTTATGCAAATTATACATTCAAAATACCAGTTAACAAGTGGTAAGTCATAAACTATTCATCAGCTATACAGATGACCAGTTTTTAGAGTACTCTTTAACATTCTCAAACAATAGAACATTTTAACAATGTTCTTTTGTTTATTTTCTTTCCTTGAATATTTTTCTGTTTAACTGTGTGTGTGTGTGATAAAGTAATTGGAATTTTTTTAAGTATAACAATATCTTAAATATAGTTGTAAAGTTGATTTATTATTTCAATCTTGTTAGGAGAGCCTTACCATGAAATATCCTTAAGAATGTCTAATTAATTTATATGATTTTTATGTACAATAAGATGGATAGGTATAAACAACAATATGAAGGTTATACTGTACAGATATTTATAGAAACAGATAAAAAATTATATTTTGACCATTTTAAAAATCATATACATTTTTCTTAGTCTGAATGGCTTTTAACAGAATTTTTAAAAATAACAATTTAAGAGGCAAAAAAGTGGTGAACCAAACATAAAATCCTTTTTATTGTATATGATGAGCATTATTTTAATAATTTTATTTATTGTAGTCCTTTACCAATTTTGAGTCAAATAGCTGTAAGTTAAAAGTTTCATCTATCCTTTTGTCTCAAGTGAACAAGTAATTTGAGCACATTTACAACATTCTGATTTTACTGCATAAAACTAAACTAATAATCAACAACAATCTTAACATTCTACAATATTGTATGATGTAGTTAATTTTCTACAATACAATTTAATATATTGTATGACCTACAACATTCTAAGGTTTGATATTCTACATATATTCAATGTTTCATTAAATGTTTTACAATATTGTATGATACTGGAGTTCCACAATACTCCAATGTATTTAATATTCTACAATAATCAGGTAAATAGCATACTAGAATATATATGTATCATACTAAGTCAAATTTTAAGAGCATGAGTAAGTGTACAAAGTTAAGGAAACAAATATATTTTTCTATCTAAAATTTCCTCGTCAAATCATAAAACTCAGAATACCCACTGGAACAAGAACATAATGCTATAAAGATGATGTTGAAGTGGTTATAGCCAAGATACTAAAAGAAATCAGAGGAAATAATCTGGTGTTCGACGTGTGACATGGGGTTCTCCTCTACGGGGTGCAGGATCAAACTGTAGGCTGTAGTGAAGAAAAAAAGTATAAGAATAAAGTAACTGACTGCTTACAATCTTGTTTTATTCCCTTTTATCAGTGACTTTTTCTGAAATTCATTTTTCAACAACACCAGAAATGTTTACACTTAAAAAAATAATCTACGATGTAACAGAAATAAATCATGAAATGAGTTTCAGATTCTAGGATTTTACTTGATTATTCTTTACGTGTACAATTAATCCTATCCAGACCAGTGAACACCCATACATCAAATTTCAAAGTATAAGTAAAAATAATAACACTGACTATATTTCGAAAATTTTTAATAAAAAATATTTTTACATTTGATACTTTATTTTGTAGCAAAGAAAAATTAAATAAAGTTTAAAATTTACAATTCTGAACAGTGTAGAGAAATCTTGCCTGTAAATAACACAATTATAAATTTTTACACTTATTAAGAAACTAGTATTCCGTGAGAATACAATTATAAAATTTTTGTTTCCCATGTGATTTTTCAACTCTTTCTATGGTTTTATCAGAACAGTCTCTCATTCCCACCTTCTTATGACTCTGTAGCATAGAATGTGAACAACTACTAATGAAATTAAGGTTTGAAAACAGCTACAGACAAAGTTGATATAAATACCGTTGGATAGATTATAGTGTAAACTACTTACATCAATGTAACGTGAATACAATGATGTGAAAAGTAATTTATGGATTCATGGGAAAGTGATAGCTCGTGCAAAGAGAAGGACCAAATTTAATGGGAAGTTTAGAATAATTAGGAACAAACTACAGATCTTGGAATTGTTTTAGTTTCCTTACATGTTCTTTTCATTCCTCAAAATGTTTTTGTGTTAAATTGTGGTTGTTAGAAATTTACAGAAATTTTCTTGTATGACAAGACATCAGGCAAGTTTACTTAGGTTTAGAGATTATAGTAGATTACAGCAAAATGGACTGATAACTCAAGTCCTTATTTATTGAATATTACTCTTAAGTTCATAATATTCATACAACATATATAAATAAAATAACTTATTATTTATTGAAAATAAACTATATCTATTAAACATGAATTGATTTTGACCATTATAATTGTTACCGAGCCTGACCTAGCAGTATTGTAACAGGTCAGGTCGTAAGTAACCAATAAGTTGTCAGTTTTGACACATTTTGTACAATGTTTAGAATCAATCAGCAAAACCAAAAGGAATATGCTAATAATTATCAATCAAGTTGAAATTATTGTGTGTGTGTGTGAAATCGGAACTTACTGACCAACAATAAAAAGTAATTAAATTCTACAATGAAAAGAAGTGTTTGTAATTATTTTTAAAACAGCATCTCTACTGATTGGAAATGTAAAAAATTAAATAAAATAATATGATTTTTTTAAATCCAAAACTGGATACTATGCAGTAAGATTTTACTATGATTCATGCAATTTGGTGAACTATTTCCACTGTAAGAAGGAAAAAAATCAAGGGATGTCAATGACACATACCCCCAGTCCAATGTTGTATTTACATTTAACTGAATAAATGTGTTTTCAACAAGTAATGGTAATATCATTAAAGCTTCATTTATTAAACATCTCCAATAGCTTTTGTGATTATTTAGAATGTTATACATTTTTTTTATAATTCTAGAATAAAAATTCTGATTTTAAATTAACCCTTTCTGAATATCCAACTATTTTCATAATGGAAATACTTAACCAGACTGCATGAAAGTTAGTACATAGTTACTAAAGAGTATCTACAGGGTCTGCCAAAAAAGTGTTGGGATTTTATATAGTTAGATTTTCCAAAGTATTAACAGAAAACAATGTCTGTTTTATTCTGAATAATGATAAGGGTTCAATTTTTCATGGTGAACAGGTAGATAATCCATCAGCTTTCTCCTAATGTTGAGCATTATTTAAAAAATGAGTGCTCCATCACTACTGATCAAAGAGCATACTGTCGAGAACTTGGTGTTAATATTGCTCCTTCTGAACATGTCATCAACAGGAACAAGATGGAGCAACCTGACATACAGCATGAGCAACAATGGCAGTGTTACGTGAACTGTTCCCAAACAGGGTAGTGTCTCGTAATTAAGACATAAACTGACATCCATGATCCCTGGATTTCTCAGCAGCAGACTTCGTTTGTGGAGTTACTTAAAGAACAGTGTGTGTAGTGACAAGCCACTACACACAGGATTTGGAAAATAACATAAAGACAGATTTTTATTGGCCTTACACTAAAACTTTGACGTCTGCAATAGAAGGTGTTGTCCTTACAGCATGCCAACATGTAGCAGATCATGGTGGACACCTACCAGACATTATTTTTCACACTTAATGGTTACAAGACATCTTATGTAACTAAAGTTTCATAATAAACAAGAATTATACCAACAAATGGTGTTGGTGATTATTGTAGTTTTAAATTCCCAGACATCGTTTGGCAGACCCTGTATTTTATGCTTAAAAAATCCAAACAATTTGAGTATTTCTATCATACTTAGGTTGTTTTAAAGAATACTGATAATACTTCCTTTTATCTTACAATTTAAATTTATTTTTCTGATGATCAGAAATGTCCATTTTAAATATATCCTGTCAGTTTCAACTTGATTGATAATTATTAATGTATTTCGATCTGCAAGTCATAAAACCTAGCAAGAACTAACAAAAGTTTATCAATAACTTTGGACCTCTCCTTTCAAAATGTCATAACTGTTACTTTGGTCAGGTTAGGACTTGGGATTTTTGCACACAACATTCTTAGTTGAAATAAATATAATTTGTTTTCAATAAATAATATGTAATTTAATTTTTATTCATTGTTCGGATATGATTAACTTAACAAGAATATTCAATAAACAAGGATTTAAGTTATCAGAATATGCTGCCGTCACTTATTGCATCCCTATATCTAACTAAGCTTATTTGGTGTCTTACCATAAAAGAACATTTCTATAGCTTTCAAGCAGATATAATTTAAAATGAAATAATTTTCAGAAACAATGAAAGTGTTGGAAAAAAACTATATAAAATATTCCTATATCTGTGGTTTGTTCCTTAATGTTGTAAACTTCTAAAACAATCCTTTGTTCACCCCTACATGAAAAAAATACAAATTACTGCTCAAACCACTTATTCTACATTGATGTATATAGATTATAATATATTCTGTTCAATCATTTATAGCTAATGGTTCTAGCTATTTTCAAAGGTGACCTTTATTATCATTTGTTCAGACCACGTGGTGTGATATCATAAAAGGGTAACAACGAAGAGCTATACTAAAAAAAAAAAAAATCACCGACGTAGAAGGAAAATCATGTGAACAATGATACATCAGTCATTATATTTTCAAGAGCCGATAGTTTCTTAGCAAATATAAACCTATACAACGAGATGGGCAAAAAAATTCTAAAAAATAAATAAATAAATATGTTGCTTACAGGTGGAGCTGCTGAGAAATGAAAGTTGGAATATTTTGCTCATTTTTCTTTGCATGTAACACTAAATAGATGTTACGTAATAACAAAGTATTTTTGAGTTAAAATTGTTTTACTTAAATTTTGAAATTTGATCTGTAGGTACGCGCTCGACTCCTGAAAGGTGCTAACTGGTACATATACGGTTAAATTACCTCTTGCAAAGATTCAGTGTAACTTTTATAACACTAGACAGTTTAAAGAATCTGTACAAGAAGAATAAGAAAAAATACAATCCATATCTAGAGAAATACACGTCAGCATGTTGTAAACTTAAATTAACAGGTAAATATGCAAGAGCAAAGTAACAAGGTCATTTGATCCACCTGCCACCATCTTACATAGTCAAACAAAAAAAATTAAATGGTGTTAAACTAATATGTAAGAATACTTAAAATATCCAGTCTCCAATATCAATTCTAAAATCAAGCTAATTTTCTTCTTCCAAAACTGTAAACATTTCTAAATTGACCACTAAAAACTAATATAAAATTAAAATTGGGCTCTTTAAGATTATCCAACATACTTAACAAATAAAAAAGAACATTTCTTTATACCTGGTGTTTTTTTTTTAAAAAAAACAACTTAAATACTTCATAATTAAAAACAAAACCAATTCCCCTTTGTAATTATAAAGAACAAATACAAATATTTTTAATACATCAAAAATAACACTTGCAATGAATATTTGAGTGTATCATCGAGTTCCATAATTGCAGCTTGATTTCCACACCGATAACAGTAATTAGGAGCACTGAATACAGTCACCACATTTCTATCATGACACCAATTGTAACCCTGAAAAATAAATTAAACAATGTAAGTCTGTTTTACTAGCAACTTCCCAACACTTAACTTTTATATCAGCACAGTTTCATACACAATTTCCGTTTATGCAAAATTAAAACCCTCTTTGAACTTTATTTGAATTACCAGGCTAGTGTCTGAATTAGTTAAAGCACTTGCCAAGTTAACATAAATGTGGATTGAGTTTCTTCACACTTTATTCGCTTACTCAGAAAATGGTTGAATTATATGTAGGCTGATTAAATCCTATATCGCCAATAGACGTGTATTTATTTATACCTGTTTTACTTCTTATTAATCATAACACAAGATTTTGAGTCGCCTTAAGAAAAGACCATTTAAAAAGAAAACTAAAATGCTTAAAATATTAACAAGATTTAACACAAACAGTAACTAGTTGTCTTGGTTTACATCTCTACAGTTTGTTTAGAGCCAAACAAATCAATATTTAAGAAACACAGTTTCTGTTCTCACACAAAAAATTCTGAAGATTAGCATTTATCAATTCATTACATCAAAGACAGAAATTCAAAATAGTGAAATACATCAGAAATGTGGACTGAATTTTCAAAGCCCATTCACTTGGCTGTGGTTTCGCAAGATAGTAGATAGGGACAGTGGGAATCTCGTTAATCCCTTCATGCGCATCACTAATTAGATGACGAGGCATTTGGCTACCTTAAGATATGTTTTTTTTTTACCATTTTTAGTCATCAAAAGAATCGTGGATACTTTATTTCATCTACAATAACTATTCGTGTCTATTTGGCACCCCTGTGACAAACAGAGGCATGGCAGAGTGGGTTCAAGCCCCTGTTCTTATGCCCAAAAAATTATCTTTTCCTAGTAACAAGATCATTTTCAACAACCACTAAAAGATGTACGTGATTCCTCATTCCACACCTTGTATGTTATCAGTCATTAGAAAAAAGAAAAGATTTCAGCTCTACAATGAATGGAACACAGAAATTCGTAAGCCTTTACAGTACAAAAATAATTGTGATATGATATTAAATGTTAATATGCGTGAATTCTCTGTTCAGTTTTTAATTTTATAAGTGTTTATAAGACCAACTAAATAGGAATACAAGAGGATCTGTTTGCTTCTTATGGTTTTTTACCCTATGTATACCAGAGACAATGCACAGTCTCCGCTAACAACACTCTTCCAAAAAATGGCTTTCCTTACATTTTAATATTGTCTGCATGATACTTTGGTTCCCTATCAAATCTACACCATGAGAAAAATGCTGTCTCTAAACCGAGGTTGTGAAAGCTGTGCTTGTCAGTTCCAAGAAATCACTCGTATCAAATAATAGAGGCGAGACTAATTAGTTTGATTGTTAGATTATCCTATGTCACTGCATGAACAAACTTAATCACAGTATTTAATAAAACAAGACACAGCTTTGACGTTATGGTATATTTGCTATTTAATGAGAGTTACTGCAGTTATTAAAATATACACTTTACATTTTGTACCTATGCTCTTATAAGTTAGTCAAATGTCTCTGCAAGATCTTTACACTTGCTTGGAAAAGAAACTACAACTTAATTTTGAGAGCTGTAATTCACATTTAGTTTCTCCTAAATACATTTTGTGTATGATGTCCAAATCTCACATACATTTAATTCTTACTTTTAGGCTTAAAAAACATGTACACAAAATAGCAATTGCAATGTAATACTATAAATGAAAGCACCAATTTTATCAAAGAGAATACATTCTGTATAGAGACAAAAAACATTTCTGAACCATGTGATGTGACTTGCACACAACCTTTACATTATTATAATGGGAGGGAATGTTTTCATGTGAATATATAGATGTTGATTAATGAAGAGTTTTAAATACTTCTTGGAAGCTCAGTCTTTTTTTTTTCAGTTCCCAAACCAAAATAACAGCTACACACAGCTGTTGTTGACAATGTTAACTTTACGCAAATGGAAACTCTTGTTTTTGTTATGGGATGATACCTCATAAACAAAACCAACTTAAATCTCTGTACAAACACATCAAAGTTAGTAAGATAATGATCAATTTTTCTTTGTGGATTTCTGTTAATCCTAACGGAAATTGATAGATTTCCAACTTCGATAGTGAAACCTACCTATCAACACCAATAAAAAACCTGATCCATGCCTCATAATTCAGATGAGAATGGTAACAACCATTGTTCACACACAATTAAATAATCTGCTTTATACAGAAAGAACCGAGAAACATTTTGAAAATTATGTATTAACTTTTTTCTAAACGTCCTTTAACAATATAAGCCAATCAAATCAACCTTACGCTGAGCTCAAGGTGTATAAATTGTTACATAATAGCAAATAATGTTTTGCAGTCTATTTATTTAGAAGTTGCTTAAAAGTATAAGTCTGATCATTTAAAACTTTGTTGATATAATAAATTATTTTTAAACATTATGGAATTCTTCATAATGCACTTTGTTCTTGACCAAAATTACATCAAAGAAACACATAAGGACCTAAAATACTAAAGTAATAGGGAGAAAAATAGGCTGTAAAGTTTGAAAATAAAGGTCACACTTTCCACTGTATAAACCTTACACAACCAAAAACAAGAATAGTGAAACTGAAAATTTTTAAATATGCCTAACAAAAGTCCACATACAAAGAGAGTACATGGGGAGCTTTTCAGAATTTTTACAAATGTTTCCATTTCAGTGAAAAAAATTCTGTAATTCATTCAAACATTGTTTATAAAGAGGCAAGCATGGTTTGCAGGATCTTTTTTTTTTATATTCAAAAGAAACTGTAAAAAAGACTATCCAGCCTCAGTTCCAAACTTTCAAAAACTGGTTAAGCCTTACAAGGAAGTTGCATTACTTTTAAAAATGATATAGTTAAGACTTACAGATAAGTTTCATCATATATCTTACGTAGATGTTGTGCTTTTATTCACAGAATAGCCTATCATTAAAGTATTTTTGTGCCTGTTAATGAACATCACAAATTTGAGACCAGTTATACGACAAAAAAATTTCTTTGGTCAGCCTACCTCCATAACTAACTGGTGAGCTCTTGCTACTAATGTTAATCCATTGGTATGATTGAATGTTTCAGAAATGTCTTGGCCAAAGGTATAACCAGCACCTCGGGGAGAGATTCCCCACCCACCACGGTCATCTGGATCTGACCACAAAAGATCACACATCGGTCCCTGTAACAAAAATTCTTATATTACTAATGTGTATTTCATATACGATCCTTTTAAAAATAAGCTCACCTGTTCTCAGAACAAGAAAAATACATTTGGAAAGCTATTTTTCCTTTTCCTTTCAGATTCCACATATTTCTAAAATAGTACAAAATACCATACTCAGTGTTACCTATAATTCTTCGCACTAGAAATATTATTTGTTCATTTTAGGCCTTCCCAACTCATTTCAACACAAACGTTTTATTTTCTGTTTAGGTTTTTTGCCAAAAGAGAGAAAAAAAAACAATGCCTACTATATATGTAAGGGTTGTTTAGTATATTGTTTTACATATAATTTTAAATTATATAGTTAGACTCATTCACATGAAGCAAAAAAAAAAACGTTTTATATACTCAGCTATAGTTTAAAACATTATTTTTGTTAGCTGTAGCTAACTTAACCAGAATAATAAGACACCAATTGTTTTAGCAACTGAACTACCCTCTTTTTGATCTCTTCTTATGTGAAGAATTAACCCACTTCAGTATTTGTAACAATATGTTTGTCAGATTACATCATTTGGCCAAACTGTTTGGAGAATTATAATTTTTAATATCTATCAGAATATGTAACTTTTCAGTAGAATAAAATTAATTTTCTTAATTCAAAATGCATTGTTAACCTGTTAAATGAAAGGACAATAATGTATTGTTTACCTGTTAAAAACAATACATTATTGTCCTTTCATTTAACAGGTTAACAATACATTATTGTCCTTTCAAACCTGTTAAATGAAAGGACAATAATGTATTGTTAACCTGTTAAATGAAAGGACAATAATGTAGGTGTGATATTTACTAATTTTTAATATTTAAGGATATATAAACAAACGTTTTTTTTTTACAGAAACCATATCTGACTGGAATTCAGCTGTATGTGACAATATAGTTTTAGCTGTTTGGAACAAGTTTTCTCACTTCCTATACGTACCAAACATGACACGAGTTTCTGAAGTTAATTTATGTTGTGGAAAAAAAGCATAATACTTAATTGTAGATACTTAACGACGGAGTTTCGCTTAGCTATCACAACTGGCAACACTAAAGTAAGTTTTAAATTTCCCTTCGTGACTGAAAATTTAAATCTCATTCAAGCAAAAAATAATATATGTTGTAAAAACTATCACATATAACAGTTTTTTTTTTACATTTTGTAAATAATATTTACTAGCAATAGGCTATCAACTGACAGAGACCTATCCAATAGGATATGTTGAAACCTTACTGTTACTTAATGACAGTTGAGGAAGAATCAAATTCAATTCTTACAACAACAACAAAGAAAACCAAAATTCATAAATAAAACAAAAAAGAATAATTCGAGTGGCTAATATCTTAATAGTTAACAACATATTCGAATGCTGTGTAAATGCATGAGCCAAAGCATTTATCTTCATTTAACTGTTTTTATTCAGATAATTTACTCCTGAAAAGGGGGCTTGTTTTCTTGGCTAACGCTTACATTCCAATTAGTTTTGTGCTTTGCATATACATCATACGTATGTGCATATAACACATTCCCTTTGCAATGCATATTACTATCTACATCTGCCCCTCCCTTAAGCCTATGGTGACATCCTCCACAGTTCCCTATTCCTAATATAAATTGTGCATAATTTAATGAAATTTAAAAAGCTTCCCATGCATGCACACATTACTCTTTTAATTATATAGATATTATTGATAAAGTCACTTAAAAGTTAATTTGATATTACTTTATTTCTCAGATTGCAAAATATTTTTTTTGGAACATTCAAACATAACTGGAATTTATCTCACTCAAACACAATTGTTCTATAGAATGCTAAAAATAGTCATGAATTGCCCGTTTCTCCCCCATAGAGATAACACAGAAATAACGAGGCAGCCAACAATGGAAGTTTTGAACATTAAATGATATAAATTATCCTGTTGTATACTTAAGCTAATCTACTTAAACTGTAGCTTTCGACAAAAAAGACACACATTAGAAAATGCCCAAAATTTACCTCGTATTACTCATACAAATCATTTGAAATCTCTAGTTATCTATTTTATTTTATGGCTCAACTACTACTACACTACAATCTACAATGAACTAGGCACAACCATCTAAATAGTATGAACATTATTTCACCCTCTCCTCAAAAATCAATAAACTTCAGATATTATCAGTTTGATAATAGTTAGGAGGTTTAAAAACAAAAAACTTTTACTTGTACCTGATAATGAATACTTACACATTAATACATCTTTAAAAAGAGATAAACACAAAGTCTATCTAACACTTTCATTACCAGTTACAGATAGAACTTTTTTTCTTTCAATACTGACAAGAAGTTTAATTTTATTTACCAACTTCGTACGTCTACCTTAATATTGTTATAATGTCAATCATAAGAATAGAATGGTGAATTGGAAGAAAAATAATGATGTTAGCATTAAATAAAAGTGGAAAAAATTGTTTCTACTGATCAAACTGAAAAATTATAATGCTCGTAAACTTGAAAATGACATTTCCCAATGGCTAGAGACATTATGTAACAAAATCTCTAATGAAACTGAATACAACAACTGATGGCCAAGCACTGAACTACTATCACGAGTGAAAATTCACAAAAAGAATGGAAAAAAACAGCATGACATTATACGTGTCACAAAACTTTTCTAAATGAGCATTTCCATAAATCACACATTTCAGTTCTCTTACACTGTTTTTTAAGAGGGTTCTTTTCATAATTTCAGTAATACCATGTGCACACTATACTTCACACTAATACACATCCAGCCTTTTACACATTAATTTTGTGAATTTTTCTCTAATCTTGTCCTGTGACATCAACAAGTCTACACATACAACAAATGTTACCTCATGAGGAACTTCCTGCAAGCGATCTAGTGCCCTGATGTGATCTAAGGTATCTATTGATGGGGATAATCCTCCATGCAGACAGAAAATCTGTAGACGGTAATGAAAAACAAGCTTAAACATACTAAAGTATAAAATATATCATTTAGCAAGCATGTTTAATAACATTTCTAAATCAGTCTAAGTACATTTTCCATAAGTACAAAAAAAAACATCACCATATTTTCAGTAACTGTACTACAAACTTTCATAAATACAAATTAAATACACTGACATTTTAAGCACCCGAAAAAAAAAAAAAAAGATGAATTGGTGTGCACTATCTTTGGTGCAATTTTTAGGTCATTTAAAATGCACCAGAACAATGCACAAGCTTTTTTTTTTCAACTAAAAAAGTCAAACGTGACATTTTCTTTTCTTCAATTCTCATTACTTTTGTCTATTTCAATTTTAGCTTAACTTATCCTATTTTTTAAGTATATTGTAATTTTGCATAGAGAATTTTTTATATAACAATATTATAAAAAAAAAGTATTTACATTTGAAGTAGATGGTATTAAAACACAGAAATTAAAAGCTGAAATTTTTATGTGAAGAACTACTGGTAGAATGACACCATCGTTAATGAATAATTTTTTAACCAATCAAAACAATTTTACTCAACATCACCATCTGAGATTATTCTAGTTAAAATCTTATTTTCTGATGTAACAAGCACAGTCTAAAAGTCATTGATGTACACTATACATTTATAATATATGAAAACACCTGTAAATCATTATGGTACATGTATATATAAAAATATGCAATGAGGTATACAATTTAACAACATAATACCCAATCTGTTTCTTTCAGAAGAAACAAATACTTGTGAAAATAACTCATAATGTTATTGACATTTTGACTAATGAGTTGTGTTGACAAGTAAATGTTAAAAGGTTCATCAAATAACTTAGATGAATTCCCATTTCAAGGACTAATTTTTCCACCAAACCAATAAGAGTACTGCGTTTTGATAAAACATCTTACAACAGAATAACATACCTGATTATCTACTAAAGCTGTTAAAGGTAAATAGTCAAACAGATCTGTAAAGTACTTCCACACATTAGCATTGCCATATTTCCTTAGACATTCATCGTAAAACCCATAGACTTGTGTAATTTGTCGGCTTTCATGGTTTCCTCGAATTATCGTTATCCTCTCCCTGTATCTTACCTTAAGGAAAAACAATCAACATTTAAATTCTTGACACTGTTTTAAACAAATCTTATACAATATATAAATGCTATCTGAAAAAATAATAAGATAGATTACCCAAATGAAAGAAGATACTGTCTATGATTGCATAGGTTATAACTCTTATCAAAGATTTTTTTATGGAACTTTTATTCACAAAATAGAAAGAAAAAATAGTTGTATAGAGATAATTCTAAAATTAAAAAATATGCTTTTAATTACTTTTCTGTACATATTTAATGGTTGTTTGGACATTTTTCTTTCAAATTCTTTCCCTTTTTTACTTTAATTTCCCTCAAAATATTTTTCTGTACTTGATGTTCACGTCCGTCAGTCACACATTTATAAGCAAATAAGAAACATCAACTGTACAAAAAATGTTTCATCTATATGAATTGTTTATACTAGGTCCTTTTTGAAATGTTTCATTGTAGACTTTATCCAGAAAGACAGTACTAAAAAAACTAGAATACATTATATCATGACAAACTTAAGGAATATTTGTTTTAACGATTAAAAGACTCAAAAACTAGATTTGGAAATGCTTTCAACTTTTATAGTTGAATTTCAATTTTCACGAATCTAATAAAAGTTATTAACATAAATATACATAACTACAATGCAGGTACGTACGGCTCCATGAAATTTTACTCTTTTTTTTTTTTTGGAATTAGGTACATAATCAACTACATGTACTTGCGAATTTTTGGATTTTCACTTTTAGTTTTTTAGATTTTATGAAAACATGTACTTAGTATTTGTTTTATTAATATAAATGTGCCATAACTAAGCTAGTTTCGACTTTCAGCAGAGCAGAAGTTACACATCATACTCTAGCACAAGATAGGCTTAACACTACATAACGAAATTCAAAACAGGTATTTATTTTATAAACAGTTTACAAGATTATTATTAATAAAAGTACAGGAGATTTGTATAGTAATATATAACCCATACCATATGTACAATATTCAGTTACAGTACCAACAAAGCCTTTTGCCCAATGCTAAGGCTCTTCAGGCCACTACAACAGACACAGTAGTGGCTTAGATGCTATTTACATTAGCAAATTGCTTGAGAACAAATGTAAATTGGATTAAGATAGTTTATTTTATGTTTTCATCAATTTTATTTATATCACAACACATCTGAATTATGGTAACATTTTTTTTAACACTAAATTATTTATTATCAATTATTACTTTCTTGAATTAGCTTGCTCAATATTCAAACGAACTTGATGAAACATCAAGCTAATCTTTTAAATTCTTGAGTGGGCAATTACTTCCTTTATGCCACACAGAAAAAGTAATGTTTAACTTAGTTGGCATAATACAGTATTTCACCTTATTTCTAAGTTCTACCTGTATATATGGTTGTAAAATCTTCTCCACTGAAACAAGGGCAACATACAAGTGTTTAAAATACTGTTTGTATGATAAATACCTTGGTTTTTAGCTGAACCACTTTCATAAAGGTCATTCATGATACTTGGAAGTCATGTAAGATACAGAACCACAATCAAAGAAACCTGTTAACTTAAACATTTATTTAAAAATTCACCTTAATTTCATCTGTGATAAAAGGTCTACCTACAGAAAGTGCATGAATAATTGCTAACTAAAAGAAATGGCAACAAAAACAAACTTTTATGAATTTTTTTCAATGAAACATTTAAACACTCAGTTCTTTAACTAGAAATCTGTTGTAATTTCAGATTTATCAATAAAACAGCTTTCAATACTGAAATAATACTTACTACAATTATAATATTTTAATGTTGTGTGTGTAAGCTTAACAATAATTGATTATACTTGTAGTAAGTATTGAATTATTGTTAAGCCTAACACACACAACATTAAAATATAATTGTAGTAAGTATTGTTTTAACGTTGTGTGTGTTAGGCTTAAGAATAATTCACAAATACACAAAACACTTGTAACAGGGTTCACAGTATAACATCTCAAGTAGGGTATGTGTAAAATAACAAACTTACTGTATTTGCATCAAAAGTATGTAAATATTCTGCACCTTTTAGCTATGATGAACTAATACAAGAAACAAAATCAAATTGACATGTAAAAATAATTATGCCAAGAACAATGACAGAACAATGAAAAATTAAACCTTTGTTTGATTGTTTAGAGCAAAGACACACTGGGCTATCTGTTGTGTTCACTGCAGGGAATTTAGCCCCAGATCTTAGTACTATAAACCTACCACTATCCCACTGGAGGTAAAACTATTTGTCAAGGAAATACAAAAAGTATAATTTTAAAAGGAAACAACAGTGGTAATAGCTTCCTCAAACATTAAGGATATTCCATCTATCAGACATAATCCAAGAAATGCAAATGAAAAAAAAACAACACAACTTGTAAGGGAAGTCAAGTACGGGTACGATTTAAATGCCAGATCCCACGCTGTTCCAACCCCACTACTACTTACCACCCAGAACCAATTGTTGGTATGTTAGCTACCCCCAAAATGTTAATCATTCAATATAAGTAAAAATATGAATTGTAAATAAAAACATACCTTTTAATTTCTAAATTTGTAAAATACCTAACCTCCCTTTATGCTGATATCACAAGACAATAGCTTCCTTTGGAAATTATACATTTTGAACTTCCTGGCAAAATGGTATGATTTGTTTTGTTTCACCTTTGTTGTTATAGCGTAGTTACTTTTCCATTTAAATTAGTTTGTTTCTTTTGTGTGTGTGTGTGTGTGTGTGTGTGTGTGTGTTCTTTATTATAATTAAAT